TTTTACTAATCTTGTAATATACATATAGAGTGACTGAGTGAAAGATTGCTTGCCAGCAATATAGTAAAATTATATAATATGACTAGAAAATACACTGCAATAGTTAGTTTCTGCTCAAGGTGGTTGAATTGATTGCAAAAGTGATTTTCTTGGCATATCTTATGGAATGTATGTACTTTGCAGGTGAGGACATAAAATATGGTCTGTAAGGATGGTTATGGCATATGTACATGTATATGCATAGAGGCAAATGAAATGAAAGAGACATGAAACATTCAAATAACAGAAAATAAAAAAGAGATGTCCCTGCTTTCATTTTTAAACTTTAATGTAAAATAGCAAACATACAGCATAGTAGTGGTTTCACTTCAGCATGGAAATCTGAAATAGTATATAATGTCTATTTACTAAATTTTTCAAGATAAAGGTTTGAATAACAACACAAAGTTATAAAATTATTAGAAGAAGTAAAATATACTCTAAGTATCTTTCATAGCTATTAGAAATATATATGGAAAAACTACATAGAGGATTAAAAATATAATGGTATTTAAAACCCTCATGTTATTTTGCAAACACTGACTTTGAGAGTTGCTTTTCTTTACAACTTTAAAAAGAAATGGGTGTTTAAAGTAACATGGTATAGTAAGAATAAATGGCCTGTTGGTTAAAAAGAAAAGTGCCTTGTGACAATGAAGCAAGTGAATGCCCTGTAGAAGACAAAGTAAGTTTTAATGAAGGCAATGTTATTAAATGTAACTTGGGATGCAGAATTTAATAATACAACACAAACCAATGATACCAGTGTAGGGAAAAGCAAAGAAAAAAAAGAAGATAAATTTAAGGCAAACTGTTTAAATATTTATCCATGTCTAGAGATTAATAATTATAGCAGTCAAAGGAGTTGTTTGGTCTGCAGTTTCTATGCAACTGTAAAGCTTGCTAGGTACTGCTACATTAATGAGACAGTGCACACTGCATGGCTTTGTGAAAGAGACATGAAGAAGAACCTCCACACTGGGCATGGGAAAGTGCTCTCCCTCACACTGAATGATGAGCAGCTGTTAGGTTTGCTGAAAGCAGTTTATTTTATTGCAGAAAATGAAGTAACAAATTCTCAATGTATAGCAATTGTTCAGTTTTTGAAGCAGGTGGAGTGCCTACTGACCAGCTTCTCAACAAATGCAGAGGAAGAGGCCAGCTATGACACATTTAAATGACAAATGTTTGGCAGAAATGCATGAACCAATAGTGAGCACTTTGGTGCAGGATCTTCATTATTCAGTAAGGAATAGCCTTGTAATTAGTTTGAATTTGAATGAATAAATAGATATCAGCAATAGTAAGAGGTTTATGTACAGTACATAGATTACAATAAAGTTGTACAAAATTTTACTGTAATGCAGAAGTTACAGTCGGAAAGGCTAAAAACATTTCTCAAGAAACTAACAAATTACTTATTGAGAAAGACATTGATGGGAGAAAACTTGCAGCAATATGTGTAGTTGGAGCCTCAGTTAATACAGAATGTTACCAGTAAGTAGTGCAAAAACTGAGGCAAGAATAGAACTAATAGAGTTATACTGTATAGCACATAGACTTTCATTGTGTGTCATTGATGAAGCAAAGTCAGTAGAATAGGTACAAAAATTCCAGCAAGAATAGAGGTCCATTATATTTTTTAGTAGTTTGGCTTTAAAAAGCAATAAGTTACAAAGACAACTGGATGAATTTTCATTAAAATTCACCCAGCAAAGTGTACTAACTTTCAATTTACAGTGCTGTTTAAGCAGTGTGCAGAAAACGGAGATCCCTGGAAGATGTACTGGAATATACTGCTGCCTCCAGTGCTCAAGATTCAAAGCCAAAGATCTGCTATTTTCAGTAAGTCAGGTTAATTTTGTGACCATAGTCATTTAATCATGGATTATTAAGAAACTGTTTTTCCTCTCGAAGCATTTTCAAAAGGAAAGCTTATATTTTTCCACTGTATAGCCGATGAAATGTGGTACCAAAAAAATACTGAGAGATCTAATTGTTATTCCTGGTGCCTCAGGACAGGAATTTTTGAACACTCTTGAAGGTAATAAGACAAGCTTTTGATTGCCATACTCAGATGCCAGATACACAAAGTCCCTAACTGATAAACTTGAGCAGTGTTTCCTACTGATACCATGAATCTTCTCACCTGTTTTTCTGTTTTAGAATCAAAATATGCACTGGCTGCAAAACAATCAACTGAAGAAGAGTTCAGTCTTTATGTCCAGGAAAAGCTGGTTAGTCTACTGAAACACCACTGCTATATGTATGGAGGTAGCTAGATCAGTTTACATTGCTGAAACAAACTATATGATCTCAAATGACACATACTCACCAGTGTCTGTCTTTTCAACAGTAATCAGCAGACTCTGCTAAATGAACATAATGGAGTCTCCCAAGAAACTGAAGGATTGTTCAAATAGCAATAGTCATACCTGTAACAAGTGTCTCCTGTGAGCTAGGATTCAGTACACAGAATAGACCAAAATGTAAATTCCAAAATTCACTGAAAAATCATAACTTTACAAGACTGATGGTCATTTCAGAAGGCCCTTCCAGAGAGAAACTTTATTTCAGGAGGGCTACTACAAAATGGAAACAAATACAGAAGTTGTATCAATATAAAGGTGAATGTGCACAGATAGATAGAATAGTAGATACATGCAGAGGTCTTGCTGAGTAGCTTTTTGTTATTCACTTTCATATTTATATGCAATACAAGTTACTTATCTGAAGCAACATCAGTATAAACGATGGTGCAAAAATAGTTTTTTTTATATTCAAGAATGTCTGTTTGACATTGTTACTGATGTTGCAGAAATACTTACATGATAAGCTGATTGAAATTTTGACAATCATATATTATTTCTACCATAATTCTCCCATGCACTTTAGAATGTTCAAAGAGGTTACTGAAATTACCAGTCTCCAAGAGGCCCAGAAGAGCAAACAGTAACAGGTGGCATGACTATAATACAAAAGCCCTTCTAAAACTAAGCTAAACTGGCCAAGTATTGCAATTACCTGAAAACTACTGAAAAATATGAGGCAAAATGAGAAGACCAAAGCAAGCAACTGGCATTATCAGGAATAACACACTATACAAATTTGTCCTGAGTATACACTTTTTTTTTATAGATGTTGAAGGCTGAACAGCCCAACTCTCATTATTTCTATTACAAAGAGATAACATCATAGTCCCTTGCAAGGTCAATAAAGTGGAGAATGTTCAAGTGATGTTGACTTCCAGAAAAACTATCAGAGAAATCAATCATAATCTTTGTAAGATGTTAAACAACTATAAAGGATACATGCTTAAAAACTGTTACTGAATAAGCATTTGATAACTTCAAAAACCAGTTAATTTTCTTGAACTGAAAGATCTAGCAATGTGCTTTGACATCAGATATTCATCAACACCAAGAAATGGCCACATGATCAGATAAACCTTACTCATGGCATTGAATATTTTAGATGACTAGCCATTCATTTTACTCATCTTCTTAACCAAGCAACACCAGCATTTAGTCTTGTTCAATTTAAGTGGCAGCAGATGAAAGCCCATGTTAATAATGATGAAGCATACTCTTGCTCTGTACAAGTACCCACCTCCACCAATAAGATCAAGACAGGCAGGAGTATGCCCATATTCTTAAAATGGTGTGCATTAGTAATGTATATCCACTCTTGATAGCACGTGTGGAGTGGTACTTTTCTCTCTCTTCAAATAAATAGAAAATGTTGTTGTTCATTATTAAGCACAAAGGGCTATCTGTGAGCTGCCCACCACGGCTATAGCTATAGAATCCCGGTTTGTAGTGGTACAAGTCTGCAGACATACTGCTGTGCCACTGGGGGACAATAAAAAATGACTAGAGATTCAGATTCTCAATCAGTGGTTAACAAATAATTACAAAATCTCTTCTTATCAACATATTTTGTTCTATGGAACAGGACAAAAACAATTTAATTTTTTTGTCTAATCACATATCAATGATTAAAGTATCAAAGTGTATTAAACTTTTTGGTAATTTGTTCAACAGAGAGGAGTCATTTTAATACTGATATTTGTCAATTTCTTTCCTAAGCTGAATTTCACCTCTCATATAAGTATTTTTTTACACTATTTTTAGCTACATCTAAGCTGGAGTTTAAGTGGAAGTTCAAGTCCATAAATCTAATGACAGTCATATAATTCATTCACAGTGAGTTGAGTTTTTAAGCTCTTGCAAATCCCTCAAAGGTTTGTTTGTTTTGAATTTCGTGCAAAGCTACATGAGGGCTATCTGCGCTAGCTGTCACTAATTTAGCAGTGTAAGACTAGAGGGAAGGCACCACTCACCGCC